ATGGCAACTAAAAGGGTGGTTTCTGGCTGGCTTTTGAAAATGCTGAAAGATTGTATGGGCTAGCTGCTATCATCATCATCATCATCATCATCATCAACTATCACTATCGGTAGCTTCCAGGAAGCTGTGAATACCAGAGTAAGATCACAATCCATTCATAGATAGTAACAATGACAATGATGATAATGGAGATTCATAATAGCTCACTCTGAGCCAGGCATTTTTTTCACACGCTTTATATGCATGCTCTCATTTAGTCTTCATCATGAACCTAGGAGAGAAGTGTTGCTATTATCCCTCCCCCCCAAACACACACATTTTACAGACGAGGATTGAGCTGGGGAAGTAACTCACCCATCGCCAGTAAGTGTAGTGTTAGAGCTGAGGTTTGATAGCAGTGGGGTAGTCTCGCTGTCGTGCAAGTCAAAGGGTCTTCTCAATCTGAATCCTCATAGAAGCATCAATTATATTCATTTGTGGCTTTATGTCTTTGTTCTTCATGTATTGCACACGTTCCATCGTAGGCATTTGGCTAAATTTGAATTCGCTTTTCCATATTCTGGAGATCGCACATACGACTTCCTCATGGTAAGTTCTTCAGAGCAGCCACCACCTCTGATCCCACCGGGCTTGGCACAAGGAGGTGCTCTGCTCATGGAGAAGACGATGGCACAAACTTCCTGATGGACTGAACTCTCCTCCCTTTCTCCCTCTCCCCCACCCCTTCCTTTGAGTTCATATTGAATGGTTTCTTCAAAGGACATACACACTGCGTTTCACCCTCTTAAACATGTCCTGCTGTTTTGCCTGCTTGCAGGGAGTGAATCAGAGCTCACCAGGCGCTTGCTCGCTCTCTCTCTCTCTCTCTCTCTCTCTCTGTCTCTGTCTGTCTGTCTCTGTCTCTCTCTTTTCCCCCCCTGAATGGTGTCAGGTGATCCAGTAAATGTTGGGGTTTGGTTTGAGTCTCCATGATAACAACAAGTAAATCCAATGTATAGTCCAGAAGTTGTTCCCTCAGCCTATAGGCATTCCTGAGAACTTGGTCAAATGGTGAGAGGTAGTAGACAGAGATTTGGGATTGTAACAGAAATCCCCTGAACCCAATCTATATATATAAAAGCCTAAGTGACCAGCCTACCGGATGACTGGCCAACTGGCCAGTAACTATGATGTACACTGACCAGCAGGGGGCAGTCGCTCAACTCAGGAACTGCCGAGCTGCAGTCACTTGGCAGCCGTGGTTCTTGGGTGATGCGCCCAGAACCAGAGAGGAGAGAGCCGGATTCCTGTGTGTGTCACCTGAGAACCACCCTCTCGCAATCCAGGGTTCCCGGGGGGATGATGGAGAGCCAGTTTTGGCCCCATCCCCGCAGGCCAGGCCAAGGGACCCCACTGGTGCACGCATCCTTGCACTGGGCCTCTAGTGTAATAAGAAATGGGGGGAGGGGAGGGGGGTCTATTTTATGACTGTGGGATTGCTTTGTAGACTCCAAGAGCAGGACCACAGCCAGTCTTAAGAAAGCCTGGAACCATTAGCCTTCAAGATTCCCTCTCCAGCTTTGATCTCTGCGTTCTTTCCTCCTCAGACCAACGGTCTCTGCTACTCTGAGTACAAGGTTGTCAGAAGAGGGCTGCCTCAGTGATAACGAGCCCTGGAGAGACTGGCCTTTCTCCACCCCATGCCAAAGTTCCAGGGAACGAGCTTTGATTGGCTAGCCGCGGTCAGGTGATCAGCCCTGGTCCAAGGTGAAGGGATCCTTTTAAACACGGTGGCTGGAGCGCACCAGGGTAGATCCTGGGGGCAGTTAAGGCTATTTCTGTTTTCAGAGTTGATGGTTCACCCCACTTTCCTGAGGCTGCTCTCTCCCCCGAATGTCCCAAGGCTCTATGGTAGACCACACACTCGCCCGCCTCCTGCCTCTCTGGATGCCAGGTGGTCACCCTGCCTGAGTCTGGGGTTCCTTCTGACGGTGCCAGGCCCAGGCCCAGGCCAGGACCTAGATGGGCATCGAGACAAACTGTGGGTCACCCTTGAGAACAAGAAGCAGGGTTGGCGGTCGAGCTCGGATGGTCTGAAGGTGGTCTGGTTCTCCGCGAACTCTAGGAAGAAACTGGCGTTTGGTAATGGGGAGGGCATGCCAGGGGCCGGAGGCGAGTGCACAGCAAACCTGGGACCCCAGCAGGGCAGAGCGAGGGGGGAGGCCACTGGGGCACGTGCCACCCATTGCTATGGCTCCTGCATCTGAGAGTCCGCAGAACAGTGCTTCATATGTTCCTCTTTGCACTTAGGGTTCCATAAGTTTATTCTGTGTGCTTTTATTAATTTAAAACTTTTTTCATAGAAATTTATTTTATTTGTAAACATTTATTTATTTAGTTAATCCTCAGACCAACTGTCTCTGGGGGGGGAGATATTTTTTCCATTGCTTTTTCAGAGAGAGAGTGGAATGGAGGGAGGGTGGCGGAGGAGAGAGAGAGAGATCGATATGATAGAAACATGGACTGGTTGCTCTTGCACACCTCCCTCCTGGGCCTGGGGGTTTAACCTGAAACCCAGGTATGTGTCCTTGACCAGGAGTCAGACCCATGATCCTTTGGTACCCAGGTTGATGCTCCAACCACTGAGCCAAGCTGGCCAGGGCTATTTGTAAATTTTTGTAGAATTTTAAAAATAATTCTAGAAATTCAGAAGCCTGGGGGGGGGGGGGGGAAAGGAAAGCAAACACCACTTATAAACTAATCACTGGGAACCTATTAGGGTAAATCTTTTAGTGTTGTTTATTTTGTGATTGTGTTTTTTTAACAAACAGATCTAGAGGGGAGGTAAAAATAGGAACATACATACATACTAGTAATTGTTTTCAAACTTGGTTTTTATTCCTGAAAGCAAGGAGCGCTCTCTCTCGCGTTGCACATGGTTTTCAGCAGCATGGGGTTCGCCACAACGTCCCACTGCAAGGGTGGAGGGAGGTGGCGAAAATTGCCAGCTGCGTTCATTGGCTCCCAGGGGAACCCTGAGTGGCTGCAGCCCCTCCGTGGTTTATCTTTTGTTTCCGATAAAATTATGGAACACCTTTCTCACAGTGCCCTGATGCCCACTCACTCTCACAGCTGGCCGCGGGCAGCAGGCCCTACTCCTGCATGTTCCCAGGGCCTCATGGGCCAGCCATGCTGCTTGGACTCGCTGAGATCACCCCAGCTGGTGGCACCAAGGGGCACACACACAGCCAGCCTCCAGCAGGCATCTTGCACCCCTGCCGCGCTCTGCCCAGGGCTGCTCATCAGGGTCGGCTGTCAGTCACAGCCCCTCCTCTCTTCTGCTTTGCAGGCTCTGTCCCCGGAGGTGCAGAGGGAGCTGCTCGGGAGCTGACCTGCCACAGAAAATCAGGTAACATCAGCAACCAAAACCCTAGCCCTTTTCAGACCAGTCAGGTGAAAAGCACTCTTACAAGCCATGAAAGCTCATTTTGGCCACAATTCTACAAGGCAGATTGCATTACCCCCATTTTGTAGATGGGGAAGCTGAGCCTAGAGCAATGTAGCGCCATTCCGCTGGTAAGGGAGATTTAAACCCAAGACTGGACTGAGTCCAGTGTCACACACTGTCCGCTGCTCACTTTCTCGGGAACTAGAGGTGAGGGGTTCAGAGTAGGTAAGATGTCTGGAAATGACCGAGGGTCCGAGCGGAGCTAGCCAGTGGTCCTTCCTCACCTGAGGGCTGGGGCTGGGCTCCCGGCATAAGAATCCTCTGCTCAGCCAGCCTGGCTCACTGGTTGTGCGTCAACCTATGAACCAGGAGGTCACAGTTCCAGTCAGGGCACATGCCTGGTTTCCGGGTGATCCCCAGTGGGGGGCATGCAGAAGGCAGTCAATCAATGATTCTCTCATCGTTGATGTTTCTGTCTCTCCCTCTCCCTTCCTCTCTGAAATCAATATATATATATATATATATATATATATATATATATATATATATATGAGATTCTCCTTTAAGGAATTCGTTAGAAGTATAGATTTGGAGCTTATCTTTGATGGGAGCTGAGAATGTGTCTTTATACAGCTTTCCAAATGACTTGGGAACACAGCCAGGCTTGGGAACTGCTGGTGAAATAGCCACAAGTCCTCATTGTTTCCCAGGAACCATGTGTCTCCATAAATAAATGAAGAACGACAACCCGATGAGGGATGTACTACCGTGTTTCCCCGAAAATAAGACATCCTCCGAAAATAAGACCTAGCACATGGAAAGATAAGACATCCCCTGAAAATAAGACCTAGCGCAACTTTGGGAGAAAAAATTAATATAAGACACTGTCTTATTTTCAGGGAAACAGGGTATTATCATCTTCAGTTTACAGGATAGGGAGGATGGGGCCCAGAGAGGTTAAGACGTTTACCCGAAGTAACACAGCTTGAAAGTGGTTAAGTGGGCTCTGATCATGGCCAGCGTTTGTGCGCATATAACCACGTTCACCTACCTCCCTGCTCAGCTCCACATTCAGACCCGCCATTGCTTACCCGGCTACGGCTGTCACAGCATCAGGAAATGGAAATTCGATGGTGTCCAGGGAGGCAAAGAGGAGGAGCATTTAGTGTTTCCCTTTGGCAGTTTGGCAGCCTTGGCTTTCTCTGAGCATGACACATAACACAGGGCACGTGACACAGATGACCAGAGCTGACGCTAGTCCAGGCGACAGCAGACCACACCCGCACAAGTTGTCTTTGGAAACAAATGGCATCCCAACCCCCTTCCTCTGGGCGCAGAGCCTGGTGGAAGGAATCAGGGTTTGTAGTAGCGCATTCTTAGCGTCCCAGTTCCTCTGTGAGTTGTTTTGTTTTTGTTCTTTGGGGGCAGCCCCATCATCCTGCCCTGCTTCACGGCTTATCATCACCAGCCTCCTGTTCCAGGTTGACCTTGAACCGCAAAACTGCTGTCCGCGTGGACCGGGGCCGACACCGCACGTCCCTCTGCCCGGACCCCTGCGTCCAGACTCCGAGATATGGCGACGGAGGGCAGCAAGGTGGCGGATGGACAGATCTCCACGGAGGTCAGCGAGGCTCCCGTGGACGGCGACAAGCCCAAAACCCTGGTGGTCAAAGTGCAGAAGAAGGCGGCAGCAGCAGACCTTCCGGACCGGGACACATGGAAGGGCCGCTTCGACTTCCTCATGTCCTGCGTGGGCTACGCCATCGGCCTGGGCAACGTCTGGAGGTTCCCCTATCTGTGCGGGAAGAACGGCGGCGGTAGGTGCTGGCCTGGCCGCCTCCCCGCCGGGCCTGGACCCCACAGCAATGTCCCACGTAGACCTTTCCTGGGGCGGCCTCAGGGCAAGGGGTCCCCTACAGAGTGTGTCAGGCCCCACTTCCTGTTTCTTGTCCTTTTACCAAAGGGTTCTGAGAGAGTGATGCCCTCTGCCAATGATCTGAAAGTTCACCTCTTCATTGGCCACGTGTGGGTGATGTGTTTTGAGCAGGGAGGTCCCTGGGCAGTGGGAGCTGCTTTTGAGGCAGAGAGCCTGGGAGTCGGGGCAGAGACCCCGGAAGGCCCCCTGGGCTGCCCTCTCTGCCCCGGGGCTTCTGCGAGCCTCTCTCTTCTCGACCCCGCAGGGGCCTTCCTGATCCCCTACTTCCTGACGCTCATCTTTGCGGGGGTCCCCCTCTTCCTGCTGGAGTGCTCCCTGGGCCAGTACACGTCCATCGGGGGCCTGGGGGTGTGGAAGCTGGCCCCCATGTTCAAAGGTAAGTCTGCGGAGTGGGGCCGTGGGTCGTGGCGATGATCATGCCCGCGGGATGGTGGCAAAGCCAGGGCCTTCCCCGTAGGCTTGTCCCCTCTGGACAGAGGGAGCTGCTCAGCCACGACTGTGCAGGGTGGAGCCCTTAAGGGGCCAGGTGACCACGCTGGCCCAAACCTAGGACGGTAGAGAGGAGGACCCTGTCTGGAGGCCCCCGTATTCACATCTGTCTGCTCTGTTCTGGGAGCCCATTTCCCTGGCAGGAGCTGGGTGCAACTTTCTTGACTCCCTGGCTCCGTGCTGACAGACACTCAGGTGAACACGTGGAGGATCATGCTTTCCTGCAGGCCGGGCCCCAGCCCCCACTTCAGCCAGTCTGTGTGTGAGGGCCTGGCTTCCTCACTTGCCAGATGCATGTGACCTTAGCCAAGTCCCTGCCTCTCTCCGAGGCCGAGTGAGGTTGTAGCTGTTGTGGGAAAAGAAGTCAGTGACGTGCCCTGGGGCCGTCGTGGTTACTGAACGGGTCTCACGAGGGTGTGTCCCTCCCAGGAGTGGGCCTCGCCGCGGCCGTGCTGTCCTTCTGGCTGAACATCTACTACATCGTCATCATCTCCTGGGCTATCTACTACCTGTACAACTCCTTCACCACGGTGAGTGCCCTCTGCCCGCTCCTGCAGCCAGAGCCAGGCCCAGAGTCCACCCGCCGTCCGCTAGGACCACAGGCCTGCTGACAGAGCCGTCCCTCTGCAGCAGGGGGTGAGGTGGTCTTCAGCAGCCCTTGTCTCCCCACAGTGATAGCCTGTGACCTGAGCCCCTGTTCGGGGCCAGGCCCTTTGTGGGGTAACATCTAACCCTCATGGCACCCCCTCTACGATGGGTATTGTTAGCCCATTTTCTACGAGCCCAGGTTCAAACCCTGACCCTCCTATATACCCGCTGTGCAACTTTTGGGACGAGGCTGAACCTCTCTGAGGCTCAGGGCCCTCCTGTAGTTGTGAGAATTTCAGAGTAAGCGTGTGTGCAGTGCTTAGGTCTGTGCCTGGTAAGCTTGGTAAGTAATCACTGTCAGTATCGAAGTGCACCGGCTCAAAGTCGCATAGCTTGGGAGTGGTCCCGGATGGACACGCAAAACCGTACGGTGCGGTTTGGAAAGCTCATTTTCTGAGGGAAAAGCGTGAGGTTCAGACATCAGCGGTGACACGTAGGTGCTGTGTGGTCCTGAGCAAGTGGCTGCCCTTCTCTGATCTTTAAAGCAGGGCTCACGGCAGGACTCGCACTCGGGAGCTGCTGGGAGGGGGAGGTGAGGAAACGGCTGTGAGGAGGCTCAGGGGCCTAAGGATGGACAGGGTGTGCTGGGATCACGGTTGCCAACGCCTGTGGCTCAGCAGGGTTTGTCTGTGTCGCCGTGTCTCTGCAGACGCTGCCGTGGAAACACTGTGACAACCACTGGAACACAGAACGCTGCTTCTCCAACTACAGCATCGCCAACACCACCAACATGACCAGCGCCGTGATGGAGTTCTGGGAGTGAGTGAGGGCTGTTTGCGGTGGGTGGCCTGTCGGCCGGGGCCAGCGGGTACAGAGGCACCTCAGAAGGCTGATGGAGGAGATCGGTGACCGACTGTTTGTGGAGATGCAGGCAGGGCTGAGGGAGCCCCAGGGAAGGGTGAAACCCCTCCCTCCCCCAGAAGGAGCTGAACCTGGGGAGAGCCCCTAGATCTGCACTGACCTTTGGTAGAGAAACCCAGCTGCAGGCAGAGCCTCAGGGAGCAGGGAAAATACATCCCGGGCATCGCGCTCCTCCCCCCCTCCAAGCTCCTGCTATTGGTCAAACCCAGAAGAAGCCAGAAGCCAAGGGAGCTGGCAATAAAGCCATAGCTTTCAGCCTCGGGGCAAGAGCAGGGTGGAGAAGGGTAGACAATGGCCAAAGGAGAGGAATAACATCCTAGGCCGAGAAGAATCACTAGGAGAGGCAAGTAAAGTCCCGATTCATTCTGTAAACAAGTCCTGAGTCACTTAGAATAAAGACACACACACACACACACACACACACACACACACACACACACGTGCGCATATGCAGACACACACATATACACTGTCCATAATGAAAGCCATGCTGATGGTTTCATCATAGAAGATGCAAATCAGGAGTATTCATTTTTCCCATTTGCGGTCCTGAGACCCAAATCTCTTCGGCATGAAGGCAGCATCTGTGCTGGGAAGCTGGATGGGGTCTACCTGGGAGTTTCCTCTGCCATTTGGATAAGCTGCCGAGAGGAGCCGTCTCAGGAGGTGTCAGAACACGCGAAATGTGCTTGGCTAGGCTGTCTCCTTACGAATAAATATCAGGTTCTACTCTGGCTGGTCCTGCTTTCAAGCATCTCCCACATACAGTTGTCTCCCCCATGTCCAGGCTTCTCATTCAATCATTTATTCAGTAAACATTTCCTGGGCACCTACTGTGTGCCAGTCTGGTTAGAGATGTGGAGAAGTAAACGGGCAGTGGAACACCAAGTGACCAGCACCAAAAGGAGGGACACGGAAGGCCGTGGGGGCCCCAAGGAGGGGCCTGGACCAACCTGGGTGAGGAATGGCATCCAAGGATGGAAAGCAGTGCCGGGGAGACAGGTGTCAGAGGCAGGTGAGAGCAAGCACGCTGGAGTGAGGGGATGCCAAGTAGTCCAGTCTGAGGGGAGCTTGTGGGGTCCGTGGTGAGAGCCAGGACTAGGGAGAAGCAGAGGCCAGCTCGCCATAGCTTGCAAGAGCCACCTGGAGAGCTGGGCTTCCTTCTGAGAACAATAAGAAGCTCTTCATTCAGAACTTCAAGCGGAGGAGTGACAGGACCAGGCTTTGCGATTAGAAGGCTCTCTGGGGGTGGCAGTGGGGACAGAGAGGAAGTGGAGGAGGGGATCTTGTGAGGAGACCTGCAGCCATTGAGGTGAGCAACCCCGGAGGCTGAATTAAGGCACTGGCAGGTCAGAGCTTTCTGCCGATTGGTATAATGGGCCCCACCGTCCCTGCCCAGCTCTTCGATCTCAGGGAGCACAGATGTCATCACAGTCTGAGGGAAGGTATCACCTGTGTGCACACACCGGCCCAGCTCCGGGTCCATCCAGCCCCTGTGACTTTCGCCTCCCTCCTGTTCCACCAGGCGTAACATGCATCAGATGACGGACGGGCTGGACAAGCCGGGCCAGATCCGCTGGCCTCTGGCCATCACCCTGGCCATCGCCTGGATCCTCGTGTATTTCTGTATCTGGAAGGGTGTTGGCTGGACTGGGAAGGTAAGAGAGGTGCACGGTGGGAACTAGAGGGATGCAGGGATCTCCAACCGGGGCAGGCGGGCTGTGCCTCCCAGGAGCCCTTTCCGTCTTCAATTTAAGCAGGTCCCTTCATCGCGCTGTGCCTCGATTTCCTTTCCTTTGGGGAGGTGTAAGGGTCAAAGGAAATAATGCAGATCAGGCCCTTACCACGGTGCCGGGCTCACATTAAGTCTCTTGAGATTAGCCTGGGCCTGGCAGAGCCACTGCAAAGCAGAAGGTAAATGTTGCTCGTTTACATTAAAATGTCCCTGAGCGCCTACTCTGTCCCCGGCCTCGTCCGAGGTGTGTTGGGTCCAGGGTGACCACTCCACATCCCAGCTCTGAAGAGCAACAGAGATGGGTTGATGGATCATTGAAGACTCAGGCCTTGTGTTCAAATAGACCTGAGTTCCGACCCCAACTTGGCCATGGACTTGGCCCTATGCCCTTGGGCAAGTCACTTGCCTCTCTGAAACTTAGTTTTTTCCTCTAAAAAAAAACAGAGACTAATTCAATGCTTATCTGTTGGTTTGTTATGCAAATGAAATGAGCCCACGGTTTTGTAAGGCACTCTGCCCCTGGCAGACAGTGGGAGTCATTGTTTTTGTTTTTATTATTGGCAAGGACAGAGCCAGGCCAAGTTGGGTTGTGCAATCTGAGGACACGGGTGGGGAGCTTGCCTATCCAACTGGAGGGAGGAAGACTGGCCTCAAACCTACATCTTACCCCCTTTAAGCCCACCCCGTGAGTCTGGGGACAGCTCACTGATGTTGGCCTAAAGGACTCAGGGCAAGTGTGCTGTTGAGGTCATAAAGTAAGTGAGGGAGAGAGAGGATGTGAACTGACTAAGCCTGGAGACAGGAAGGTTCAGGCTGCCTAAGAAGCTGAATGAGCAAAACAGAACCTCCGTGAATCCACACTTGGGCATGGGCACAGCTGATGGAAAACTGCCTCGTTTGGTCTGGTGGGACCTTTGGACCCAACAGGTTCTCACATTCAAGGCTGGTGTCAGCAGCTGCCCTGTCCCTGGGCTGCACAGGGAGGAGGGGCCACAGGTGTCTCCAGGCCCAGCTTCTAGAAGCAGAGGAATGTAGGGGCCTCGTCCCCTGGTGCCCCGCTGTGTGCTCCTGGGCACGTCAGTTCCCTTCTCCGAGCCTTAGTCTCCTCATCTGTGACGTGGTCACATAATGGTCATTACAGGGTTGTTAAAAAGACCTGAGGGAGATAATCTACACAGAGTGGGTAGCATATGTCTAGCACATGGTAGGCACTCAATGCATGACATCCGTTATAATCACTTTTGGGGGGTATCTGGAGTTCCTGCTACATGAGCAGACTGGCTACTTCTCGGGGACCGAGGGAGGGCCTCCCTCACCATGTCTTTTGAGTGAGCCAGCCAGTCCATCGGTACACATGCACTGAGCACTTCCTGTGTACCTAGCTCCATGCTGAACATGGGAGACACATTGCACTGCAAGACCTAGCAGCAACTATTAAGCATGTTGTATGTCCTCATGCAACCAAACGTTCTGACCAGCAAGGTTGATTATACCCATTTTCCAGACAAGAAAACAGAGAGGCGTAGGGAGGATAAGAAATTGACCCACTATCACACAGACAGTTCTGACTCCCCTTTTCCTACTTCCAAGTACAGTGGTTTTGCTATGGGACTGTGGCTGCCTTTTCTAACCCTGAATAATCTCAGCATGAACTTGGGGAGATGAAACTAACCCAAAGCACAGTATATGCTGAGCATGATGCTAATAAAGGTCATTGAACTTGAAAATTGCTCTCTCACACCACTGAGCAAAGAAATGTAATTTCTGCTTTTTGATGATTAATTTGGCAAGAAGTAATTTTTAAGATGATTATACTCAGGGAAGGTGCTCTCTGTGATGCTGGGCAAAGTTCAATTTCTGGAAGGTAATTAGGCGACACGGGTTAAAAACCTTTGAGAAACTTATTTTTTCTCAGTAATTCTACTTCTAGAAATTTTTCCAAAGACACATATCAGTAATGTTTAGTATAACTTGCCTATTTTTGTAGACAAAGTTTTATATTCAAGGGTACCCAATGAAGTAGAATTAAGATTGACATAAACTTGGTAGTGACCTCAATGGATGGTGGAGCCTCCTGAGGGACTATTTTGTATAATCAAAAGATTACATTGTTCTGAGACAATAAAACAATTTTTAGTAAATAAAACAAGAAACAAAGCTGTATGTACTTTTTTTTTATTTTAAGCATGTTAAATGAAAAGGCAAGGACATCGTTTTGTAAGAAAATGTGATCCTATATGCAAAGGAAAGTCTCAAAAGGGGAACAGTCACACATTAAACTCCATGCATCGGTGCATTTGTGTGGCGTTTATCGAGTGTCCACTATGTACCATGGACTGTTCTAGGCACTGGGACAACAGAGATGTGAATAAGACAAGCCCTGTCCTTCATGTAACTTACCTTCTAGAAGCTGCTGACAGGAACTGTGTGTTCCTATGTGATTTTTAAAGTTTTCCTGTCACCATAAGTATTACTTTTAATTTAAACAGAAATCAAAAAGTAGGAGAGAAAGGGGAAGGGAAAATTCGAGCACTGGGCTGGTTGGTTCAGAATCCAGGAAGAGCTGCAGAAAAGAGGCCAAGCAGAGCAAGTTAGGAGTCCAGGAAGGCTTCCTGGAGGAAGAGAACTAGAACCAAGACCCAGAGCCACAGCAGGTATAGAGAAGGCGAAGTGGAAAAGGAGGAAGCATAGGTGTGCTGGGGGGTGGGGGTGACCATATCACCCCATATCACCCTCTTTGCTCCCAGGTGGTCTACTTCTCAGCCACATATCCCTACATCATGCTGATCATCCTGTTCTTCCGTGGAGTGACCCTGCCGGGGGCTGGGGATGGCATCCTCTTCTACATCACACCCAACTTCCACAAGCTGTCCGACTCCGAGGTGAGCGGTCCTCCTGGCCCCCGCGGTACTGGAAGGCACCCGTTCGGTTAAGTCAGTGGTCTGCAAATTCATTAGTCCACAGAGCCAACTTTCAGCAGTACAACGATTGAAATTTCTTTTGAGAGCCTAATATTTTTAAACTTAAACTTCTTCTTACGCCGCTTCTTCAAAATAGACTCGCACAGGCTGTAGTAGTTTGTGGAAGAGCCATACTCAAGGGGCCAAAGAGCTGCATGTGGCTCGCGAGCCGCAGTTTGCCGACCACGGGGTTAAGTGCACACCTGAGCCCCGAGCCACAGGTGACCAGCGTTCCGACACGTTACTGCAGCTCTCTGACCCTCCTACGTAAACTGGGATGGTTGCCAGGAAGAGCTGGTTAGCGTGTGTAAGAGGTCCTACAGCAGGGCGACTTTATGATTATAAATTTTGACTGTTCTTTCTCATTCTGCCTGTAGGTGTGGCTGGATGCTGCCACTCAGATCTTCTTCTCCTACGGGCTGGGCCTAGGATCCCTGATCGCTCTTGGGAGCTACAACAGTTTCCGCAACAACGTCTACAGGTGCCCGTGCACAGGAGCACCTCCTCCGGGGCTGCAGCCCTCCTGGGCCGGCTGCGCCTCAGGCCTTTCCCCTCTGTTAACGCTGTCTTTCTCAGGGCCAGTCCCTCTGGCCACTCCTTCTGTTCCACTCCCCCCAGAGGTGGTGGTGGTGGGTGTGGACCCACCAGCCCTTTAGCCCCGCTGACAGGCACCCTTTCCCCCGGGCCCTTTGCTAGCCAGGGCCTCCTAGCTCACCATCCTGCCGTCTGCCCTCGCTGACGGTGCCTTCCCTCCCTCGCAGGGACTCTATAATCGTCTGCTGCATCAACTCGTGCACCAGCATGTTCGCGGGATTTGTCATCTTCTCCATCGTGGGCTTCATGGCCCATGTCACCAAGCGGTCCATTGCGGATGTGGCGGCCTCAGGTCAGCACCCACAGGGCCGGGGCTCCGGAGAGGGAGGGGCTGGCGTTGGCGGTCGGTCGTGTCACCACCTTCGCCCACTGGCACGGAGGTCACTGTGTGCCAGGCAGCGCGCTGAGCATTCACGTGGACTGTGTCCCTGGATCGTCCTGACCCTGGGGAGCTCGGGAGGTGGTAGGGCTTTGCAGTGGAGCCCAGACCTGGCTGATGGCAGAGCTTGGCCCGACTGGCACATATCTAGCCCAATCCTGGGCATCGGGGGGGGGAGAAGACTCACACTTGCCCCCAAGATATAAACTTTGGTCCAACTCCAGACATGTTCACCATCAGGACACAAAGCACCCACGTCCGTGCATTTGTCCCAGTTCCAAAAACATTCTCACCAAGTGGCTGTGCCCCTTCTGTGCTCCATGCAGACAGGCAGGGGGCCCAACGAAAAACCTAGGCAGCCGCTCTCTTCCCTGCTCAGGAAAGCAGCGAACATGGGCCCACTGTGTGCACAGCGCAGGCCCAGAGGCTCAGGAGGGAGAAGCCCCATGGGTTATGCTGAAAGGAACGTCCTCCCCGAGGCCCTAATCTCCCCAACTCGGGCAGCCACCGCCTCATTTCTCTGGAACCCACCGCCACACCCCTCTTCCCGAGCCCGACCCCAGGGTGGTTACAGTCTCGGTTCTTTTCCTACCAAGGTTCTCCTGGTCGCCTGATCATCTCCCCACCCCCAGACACTCCAAACACAACACCCCCACACTGACCTCCTCAAGCTTTCCCCGCCCCTGTGCTCCCCGTTACAGCAAAGGGTTCTGCCGGCCAGTGCCCGGGACAGAGCCCCGGCATCACTCTGTCCCCTTTCCTCACCTTCACTTGCAAACCCGCCAAGGCCGGGACCTGCCCATCCTACTTCCTGTGTCTCCATCTGGTCACCTCTCTGCCCCTGCACCGTCCCCATCGCTGGCCAGGCCGGTGCGGGTCCTCATCCCACCCACTGGTCCCTCGACTGTGGACCCACCCCTGCGGCCTCCCCACCACGCACACACTCTTTCCTCAGGTAGAAGAGGGGGCCGGCGACATCACTCACAAGGTTGCTTGGAAGGTGAAATGGACCTTAGAAAGTGGGTGTGGCCGAAACCGGTTTGGTTCAGTGGATAGAGGGTTGGCCTGTGGACTGAAAGGTCCCAGGTTCGATTCCGGTCAAGGGCATGCACCTTGGTTGCGGGCACATCCCCAGTAGGGGATGTGCAAGAGGCAGCTGGTCGATGCATCTCATCGATGTTTCTAACTCCCTATCCCTCCCCTTTCCTCTCTGTAAAAACTCAATAAAATATATTTTTTATAAAAGTGGGTGTGTACTGAATATGTTGTAGGTGCTTGGTATGTTTTTTTTTCTATTTTTATCCTCTCTCCCCGCAGGCCCCGGGCTGGCGTTCCTGGCGTACCCAGAGGCAGTGACCCAGCTGCCCATCTCTCCGCTCTGGTCCATTCTCTTCTTCTCGATGCTGCTGATGCTGGGCATTGACAGCCAGGTGAGGGTGGCCTCCCGGCACCTCGAGGAGCCCCTCTCCCCGCCTTGCCCATCGGGAGGAAGCAGCAAGGGGAGGCCACTGCCCTAGGCCCCCCGAGGAGATGGCCTGGGGTTTCAGACCCCTAGACTGTCCCATCACATAACACTTCAGGGACCAGCTCAGCCACCTTCCCCACTTTGGAGATGGGCAAGCGGACGCTCAGAGTGAGGGGCTCTCCGGAGTTCACAAAGGGAGGCAGAGGCAGAGGCAGAGGCAGAGGCAGAGGCAGAGGCAGAGGCAGAGGCAGATCGGGCCTGGATCGGGGCTCAGCTGGCCCTGCTGTCTCGATGCTGCTGGGCTCTCCTGTCTCCTGCCCGTCAGGCTTTGGGTGGGTTGGGGCTGGGGCCCTCCACGGTGGCTGACCGCTGTTCCCCCCAAAAGTTCTGCACGGTGGAGGGCTTCATCACCGCCCTGGTGGACGAGTACCCCAAACTCCTCCGCAACCGCAGGGAGCTCTTCATCGCTGCCGTCTGCGTCGTCTCCTACCTGATTGGCCTCTCTAACATCACTCAGGTAAGGGCGGTCAGCCCCCGCACACCTCTGGGCTGCCCGCCCCAGGGCCGCTCCCAGGCCCTCTGTCTTAGCCCACTTTACCTCCCAAACCCCATTCATGGAATACCTTCTCTGTGCCAACCCCAGCACACACTGCACGGAGTAAGGTAGGATCCCTTCCCTTAAGGGACTCCTGGGTTGCTGGGAGACACAGACAATGATGCAGAAATGATGGGCGGAGCTAGAGACTATAGCCCCTAACCTGGCCTCAGGCACAGGTCCTCTTCCTGGAGAAGAGGATGCAGGGGAGGAATTTTAAGAGACACGAAAAGATTAACAAGAATCTTGGCTGCGTGGGTTAGTTGGTTGGAGTATGGTCCCGTACACCAAAAGGTTGCAGGCTTGATTCCCAATCAGGCACATACCTAGGTTGTGGGTTTGATCCCCAGTTCGGATATTCAATAAAAACGTCCTCGGGTGAGGATTTTTAAAAATGTAACAGCAGAGTCCAGGGGAGTTAGCTGGGCCTTTGTTTCCCTTCCCTTTCATTTCTACTTGTTGTCCCCCCCCCCCCCCTCTGGATATTAATGAGCAAGGCTGTCTGCATTCAAGCCCCCTCTCAGGCTACTCAGAAGACAGGAATATAACTGATGAATTGCACAACAAGTATAAATGGCCCTAAAGCCATGAGCTCACCCCGTGGGTCTGATTTTTGATCCACAAAACCACCCTTGGATTCACATACAGTTCAGACCTAGAATTATTGCTGATTCGTTCTTTCATAATTGATGAACACCGACTACGGGCCCCAGTGTGACATTGAAGATTCAGGAGTTAACCTGACAGACAGCATCAGCTCTCTTGGATAAGACTGGCACACACATTAGATCATTAAGTGCCACGAAGAAAGGAGGAGAGTGGACCAGAGAATGACTAGCAGGGACGGGAAAGATGCCACCTCAACAGAGTAGTCAGGGGCAATTCCTGAAACTCAAATGAGAGGAAGATCCATCTGGGGGAGACCTAGCAAGGGGAAGAAAGCACAGCAGGTGCAAAGGCCCTGAGGTGGGAATGGGCGTGGTGAGCTGGTGGGGCAGAGGGAGTGCGGGGCTAAGTGGGGGATGTAGAACCAGAGATCATGCCAGGACCTTGAAGGCCAAGGCACCGGATTTTATTGTATTATTTTATTTTTTATCTTTCTACCTATTTATGTATTATATTGTCTTATTCAATAATGGGAGGTTTTGAGCAGGGGAGGGACTTGACTGACTCAGTATTGTGGACAGATGGCCCCTCGTCTGTCCTCCAGCCTTACCAGATACGGGGCACGTCCCTCCATGCCCCGCACGTTTGCACATTTTCTGCCCAATCCCAGAGAATCCGCACCCACACCCGCCTTGCTGTGGTGTAGCCTAAGCCCGGCCGCCTCAGACCACAAGGCCCAGGTTGCTTGTGAGCTGAATGCGTGGGTTCCTGGTGGAAGTGGCCTCACGCTCACGTTTCTGCTCCTGCAGGGGGGCATTTATGTCTTCAAGCTTTTTGATTACTACTCTGCCAGTGGCATGAGCCTGCTGTTCCTCGTGTTCTTTGAATGTGTCTCCATCTCCTGGTTTTACGGTGAGCATCAGCCCTCCTCCCCCTGTCATTCATTCATTCACTCATTCATTCACCATTCCTGTCTTCAGTTACCATCCAACCAGTACAACTTGAACACCAGGCCCCTTCCGTACATTCATGTGTTTAGTTCTCACAACAACTCGGTGGTGTTACTACAGGAGGTCCCCTGTTTAGAAGCTATCATAAGAAGAACAGTTGAATAAACGCATTTAACACGGGAAGCCACGATGTCTTCGTAAATTTGGGGATAAAATGGCTCGTTTGAGATTTTTATTTAGAAAAGGGAAATCGAGACTACGAAAAATTCTACAGTTAAAAGTACGTACGATCTTAGAACAAAGAATGAAGGAAATGATGGCTTTATGGGTTGGTTTTGTGGCCTAAGTTTCCAGACCAACTGCATGGTAGTCCAAGCATATCCTTCCCTGCTCTTTGATGATCACGGTGAGATGAAGTGTTTGAGAGAAATATCCTCCGGGGTCCCTCTTAGTACCTGATAATCATTGTATCTTTCTGCCACTTTACCTCCCCTTTCCTCAACTCTCTCTGGCCTCGTGCTATCAGATCCTCCTTGTCAGTGAGTTTGCTTATAATTGGAGCAGTGCCCAGCATTACTTTATGGCATCTGTGGGCCTTTCCAGGATTTGCCGTTCTTTTTTTTTTCTTTATTGATTAAGGTATTACATATTTGTCCTCAACCCCCATTCTAATCCCCACCTCCCTATTGTCCTGGACCACTCGGTTAGGCTCATATGTATGCACATAAGTCCTGCCGTTCTTCTTTGCAGTCTATCACCAGTTGCTGATAGCATCAGATCAACAGGGAAAACCATCCTGGCCCAGCAAGGCTTTGCAGGAATGGCTGGGACCGATGATGCCTGGGGGGACATTAAGAATGATGGGGACACGTTTTGGGTAGATGTTTTCCAATTTGGGGTAGATATTTTCACGTTAAGGTGATTTGCTTTCCCACACTGCCTACTTGCTGTGGGGATTTGATTATTGATTAACTAGATAATGAGCAACCCCTCAGAGCATTCGCCCCACGTTACAGAGGAGGGAACTGAGGCCCAGAAAGGTTGGGTGACTTGTGTATGGTCACACTGTGAGAAAGGGACAGATTGAGTTTAGCCTGTAACGCCCACAACTCATCCATCCTTCCGTCCTGCTTTTGCTCCACATGCACAGGTGTCAACCGATTCTATGACAACATCCAAGAGATGGTGGGCTTCAGGCCCTGCATCTGGTGGAAGCTCTGCTGGTCCTTCTTCACCCCGATCATTGTGGCGGTAAGGACAACACCCGGCCAGCCCTGCTAGGATGAGCACAGACTAGGCCCTGGGTCTCGAGAGAAACTTCTGGAGGCAGAGGCGGATGGAAGAGGCCCCAGGCCCCTGTTCCCTAATGATAGCACTGCCTGCCTTCAGTTTTGCTCTCTGCATGATGCCAGACACATCATATCATCCCTGCGATCTTCAGACAAACAGACATCAGTGCCTCATCTTATTCCCGGGGACCCAGCACTCCCCCAGCCAGCACCCCCATCGTGTGGATGCTGCACTCAAACCACATCGGCCTGATTCTGGAGCCCAAACTATTCATACGGGGAAACTTCTCATTCTCAGCACCTCCCGTTCCCCTTCTGCAAGGGGGAGGGGAGGCATGAGCAGGCCTTGGAGGGGGAAGCCCCACGTCCTTGGAGGGTGGGGGGCTGGGGCCATTACACAAGTTGTGTCTTGAACAAGGGCGCCCAGCCAATGGCGAATGGCGACTGACATCCAGCTGTCCTGCTTGCCACGCTGGTGAACGTGGAGGAAGGGATGCTTTTTCTGTCGGTCCTCAGAGGAGTCGCCTTTTTCTATTGGTCCTTCCAGAGGGTGTGCCTTTTTCATATGGGCTCTCCCAGGAGGGGTGCTCTTTTCTATTGGTTGTCATGGAAGGGTCTCCTTTTGCCATTGGTGCCCCCAGAGCACAAAGGTTTGCACCAAGGCTTCTTATGAACCGGAAGTGGCCTTGAGGGCAGAGTTCTAGCCTCAAGGTGGTGGTGGGGGAGTGGACTTGTCAGCTGCAGGATCTAAAGAGGGACCTTGGTTGACCAATATGTGTGACCTACTGACCCCCCCTCCCCCACCCTCCAGGGTGTGTTCCTTTTCAGCGCTGTGCAGATGACTCCTCTCACCATGGGGAGCTATGTTTTCCCCAAGTGGGGCCAGGGCGTGGGCTGGCTCATGGCTCTGTCCTCCATGGTCCTCATCCCGGGGTACATGGTCTACATGTTCCTCACCCTGAAGGGCTCCCTGAAGCAGGTAAGCCTCTTCCTCACCCTTCGCATCATCGGTCCCCTTCCCTCACTGTGCTGGGCACAGCCCTACCCTTGTGGAGCTCACGGTCTAGCAGACAGATCAATAGCCAGTGACAGTGGAGTGTTAGAGGTGCCGTGATTGGGGTAAATCGGGGAGATGGATAAGCCCTGCCTGGGTGGAGGAAGGTGAGGGAAGGCTTCCTGAGAGAGGGGAGAGCTGAGCATGAGCCAGAGTTAGAAGCAGAAGCAGAAGAATGTTCCTAGAAGACGGGGGAGCATGTGCAAGGCCCACAGGTACAAACTTCTCCCTGTGGCCGGAGGGTAGAGTGAGGAGGGTGCAGAGGGGTGATCGGAGATGAGGATGGGAATTTACGGTCTGGCCAGATCACGGAGGGCTTTGAAGATCACAACGAGAGCTTTGGACTTTATGCTAAGGGTAATGGGGAGCCATCGAGGGTTCGGAGCAAATGAAGGGTGGAATCAGACGTGTTGAGGGCTTCCTCGAGGCCTCATTTGCGAGCCTGATAAAGAGGAAGCATGGTCTTACCCTCGAGGGAAGGCAGAGCCTCTAAGGGGTGTTTTCCTAGCAGCGGCTCCCTAGCACGTGCTAGGGCCATGCCAGCTCTTCGGTATCAAGTTCCTGAGTGAAGCACGGCCGTCCGTGCTGGAGGCAGCAGGTGCTGGAGGCAGGAATGAAGCGAGAGTGGGCTGAGGCTATTTCGCTGAGGAACGGGGGAGAATCAGGCTGTGGAGGCCACAGCTAGGAAGGTCCGAGTCAGTGGCTCTCCACCCTGTTTCCCACCAAGATGTCCTCGCTAGGAGGGTCGGTCTGCAGCACAGGGAAGGGGGTGGAAGGCTGTGTGCAGTCCCTGGAGCTGCTGGGAGCCTCCGTTAGTCACAGGGGGAGAAACTGGGCTGCTTGAGGAAGCCGCTTACCCGTTCCTTGCGGAACTGGGGCCTGCAGCCCTTTCATCCAGCTCTGGGTTCAGAGTTTTCATTTCCCATTGTTCTCCATGAGCCCGGAGGAGAGCACAACTTGTGCGAGGGCCCGCGGTGGGAAAGGGCAGCGAGGCGCGTCTGAAGGCGGCGTGTTAGCTGATAAGGCAGGACTGCAGGCTGTGCAGGGAGAAGGTGGTGGGAGAGTCACACGTCCCGAGAATATGTATCGGGCGTCCACCAGAGGCCAGACATGACTGGCAGGACTGGGGACACGGCATGGAACAAGACAGGCAAAAATCTCATCCTTTCAGAGCTCATATTCTAGGAGGGGAATATCACCAAATAACAAATCAAAAGCGAATTAGATGGGGGAGGAGTATTACGGAGAAACCCAATGTAGGAGGGCGTTTAGGGAGTGCTGGGCAAGGCCTCACTGAGGGGATGACCCTGAGCCAGGACCTAAGGAGGTGGACACCACGCGGTGTCACTGTCAGAAAGGAAGGATGTACCGGATGGTACAGCGAGTGCAAAGGCCCTGGGGCAGGTGCATGCCCGGTGTGTGAGGAGCAGGGAGGAGGCCAGCGTGGCGGGAGGAAGTGAGTGAGGGGACGAGGGGAGGACATGGCGGTCTGAGATAACAGGGCCCAGATCATATGGGGCCTTAACAGGACTCTGGTGAAATGGGAGCCATTGTTGCATCCTGAGGAGGGATCCGATCTCTAACATGACTGCCTCCCAGCCGCTGTGCTGAGACTAGAACGAAGGGGATGATGGTCAGGGATGGACGAGGAGGGCCCTGGGGGGGTTATTGCTATAACACAGGTGAGAGGAGGTGTGCGTGGAGGTTGCGGAGACTCAGCCAGAGTCTGGGCACAGCTTGAAGGCAGAGCAGACAGGACAGACTTGAAAAGAAGGAGGAACAGAGAGCCAGTCTCCTTCCGCCTCAGCCCGAATTCTCCCCGGTGCCCACAGCGCATTCAGGTCATGATCCAGCCCAGCGAAGACATCGTGCGCCCGGAGAACGGCCCCGAGCAGCCCCAGGCCAGCGGCTCCGCCAGCAAGGAGGCCTACATCTAGGGGGACGCTCTCACCCCGACCCGGCCGAGCAGGACCACCACTTGATGTCTGCAGATCCCGTCTGTCTCAGCCTACCTCGAGTGGCGCGTCCGGACTCCATCACCGCGCAGCGGGGGGAGGTGGGGGGGCGGTCTCACCCCTGCCGGGTCCTGCCGGGTCCTGCCGGGTCCTGCCTCGGGCAGAAATGCTCCGTCAGCTCTGGCCCCTGCCGGCCGGTGACCTTTTTAATCTGGGCCCCATGAGCACCACGCAGAGGGCGTCTGTGACTGCCGCGGTAGGTGTCACTTTTATCCCCGCCGGCGAGTGTGGCCCGCGAGGCTGCGCCCTCCTGGCTTTTTAGTCGTTTCCCTGACTGTTCTCTTACTGCCGAAACCCACGACTGTTACCTTGGACTTTGCAGGAGCTCGTTCCCGTCGGAAGGCCGCTCTGTACACACACGAAAAGGGCATTTTGTATCACAGAGATTTCTAAGGAGAGCTCGCTCTTACGTAGCAGGGAGCCCGCAGAGCCCTCTCTCCGGGTCTGGTTTCCTCCTTCCCGAGGCAGCTGACCTTAACACGAGCCCCAAGGACTTCCGCCAGCAGCCCCCGGCCTGCTTCCCGAGCCCCGAGCAGTCTGTGCCGGGTCCTTCTTCCCAGCCGCCGGCGGAGGGAGCATCTCGGGGGCTAGGCCTTCCTGCCAGGCCGTGCTGGCTGCCCCTGGCCCTGCCCATTGGAAACTGCCACAAGCACAATTAATTCTCTGGTCACCATTCAGGGGGGCCTGCCGTCCTGCTGGGGACGTTCCCTAACCGAAGCCCCCGTTTCTCTTAGGTTATAGAGCACAGAGCCGCTGTAGGGGAAATCAAGGCCAAGTCCTACCCCTGAGTCCACATGGATCCAGTTACCTTTTTAGGACTAGCTCCTCCCTCACTACCACCCCCTTCAAAGCTGAGGCCCCCTCTCCTTCTCTGAAACTCCTCGGTGGGAGCCCACTCACTGCCACTAAAATCTACCCAACCACCAACGGAGGCGCTGGTGTTCATCCCCGCCCCCTTCCCCGCCCACCTCCAAAGTGCTTCCAAGACTAAAGCTGCTTTCCTGGGAAGTCGATTTTGTTCCTTTCCGGAATGGGCTTCGTGGTGGTGGCAAATCGGCACGTCGGGTGGAGACAGTTCCTTGCAAACCCCAGTGACTCAGTGTTTCTCGTTGCCAGGAAGATGGGTTCCCAAGTAGCCAATCGTCCGTGGTGCCCTGTAGCTCCTTCGCTAGTTATAGCTCACAAACTGTGTTTTACAACTAATCCTTGATAACTATGGTAAATAACTGTGACTGTGGGTTCTTAAATCTCTTGTCATTCTCATGTGACAGTGACCAGCATATCAGTCCTTGCAATAAGGTATTACCCTCAACATATTAAGCACATTATTGTAGAGAAAACGCACAGCACGTGTACACACACACACACACACACACACACACACACACACTCATCCTCCCTCATGGTATGTAGGGTCTTGTTTGATATCGTGTAGGAAATCTAAAGCCTGTTCCCAAGATCATCTGTAAAATAGACTCATTGCTAAGGCATCCCAAATGCCAGCTGGTGACTCCGTGATCAACCTGCATAGGTGTTGTTCTATTGCATAGGGTTTAGACCGGACAGAACCCTTCACTGTGTATCATGCTCCCACTCCCATCCTGAGTGAATCCCTTTAGAATAAGGGCAGGAATTCATCCAACTTCCTCTTCGTTCTTCTTTGGTGTGAGACTAAGACCAAGTCTTTTTAAGACAATACAGTGTATTTCATGTTTGTAAGCAAATCTAAGTGAGACGTTTGGCAAGAAATCCCCTAACTGATTTCCATCCAAACCTACTTCTATAGCACAATATTACGTGTCGTACAATTACTGTGAGAACTGTGAATATGTGTAACATTTTTTTTTTTTAGTATTTGCCCTGGGGGGGAAAAGATATTGTATTATCATATATGCTTTTTTTTTTTTTTTGCAATAAGGATTTATTCTCAGAACATCAAGTAAATCTATCTCTATATAAAAAAAAATATATGTAATATAAACATATTCAAACTATATACAGAGCCTGTTTTAAAATAATTACAGTGTTATTTAGTAAGATGATCTGTTCTATGGACCAAATGTAAAATATTTATAAATGGAGATGCATTTTAAATGTCTATAAATGGTGTCATAACTGGAGCATGGACATTGTACATTTCTAAGAATTTAGAGGAAAAATAATAAAGGTTCTATGATATGTCTACAATGTCAGACATTGAATTCTTGGGGGTGAGGGCACAGTTGCCTCTTTAATCAGACTAAACACACACACACACAGAATGTTATTTTTCCTCAACAGAGAGAGAGGGGAGGGGGGTTGGGGCTCACAATTCAGTGAAATAGAGCTAGACTTCCAAAAAGTCTTGGAATGTGTAGCTAAAACATGTCTCTGTGCTACAAAAGGGAGTATTCTCACTGTTTTAGAAAATTTTAATGTGGTCTACTAAATAAAGGTCTAAACTCAGGGTAACAGGAACATGTTTAGTTAACAAGGACATTCATGCATTCACTCATTGATTCATTCTTTAAAATACTATTGTTTTTAAAATTATTATTATATTATTGTTATATTTTTTTTTATTGATTTCAGAGAGGAAGGGAGAGGGAAAGAGAGATACAAACATCAATGATGAGAGAGAATCATTGATTGACCTCCTCCTGCATGCCCCTTCCTGGGGATCAAGCCCACAACCTGGGCATGTGCCCTTGACCAGAATTGAACCTGGGACTCTTCAGTCACCAGGCCAATGCTCTATCCACGGAGCCAAGCCAGCTAAGTCTTTAAATCTTACTTTAAAAAAGTTGAATTCTACAGAGAAGTGCAAATGGTTCAATGGACACCCAGATTCACCAGTTGTTGATGTAGAGATGATATTCTCTCTGTCAGTCCAAGTTCAATCTGGGGTAGCAGAACCACCATAAATATTATGGAATAAGGGATTTATTGTAGGAACAAGACCTTACCCAACTGAGGTGGAAGTTAGGAAGGAAGGGTCTGAAAGAGAGAGTTGGGGAGATCAGAGCAAAGTCACTAAGCAACTTGAGCAGAAGAGGTCTGAGCAATGTGTGTGCCCACAGTGCTTTGCTGCCCCTTTTGCAGACTGAACTCCCAGTGCCCTGTGAGCACAGGATTCCAGTGGATCCACAACGCGTGCAGTTGAGTGAGACTCAAAGCCTGCCAAAGGTAAGTGTGTGATGTTTGCAACTGAGTGAGCAGCGGCTCAGAGAACCCCCAGAGGCCACTCTATTTTTTAAAAATATATATATTTTTTATTGTTTTTTTTACAGAGAGGAACAGAGAGGGATGGAGAGTTAGAAACATCGACGAGAGAGAATCATCGATCAGCTGCCTCTTGCACACCCCCTCCTGGGGATGTGCCCGCAACCAAGGTACATGCCCTTAACTGGAATCGAACCTGGACCTTTCAGTCCACAGGCCAACGCTCTATCCACTGAACCAAATCGGTCACTCTATTTGAACCAGCACGTGGTTCGGAGGCAGAAAGAAGGCAATGGTGTTCTAAGAAACACCCATCACCCAAGGACCCCTCCTCATGTTCTGTTACTCCAAGTGCTTCCCTTATCAGCCAACCACTTACACTTCCTATGATGGCACAGGAGGAAGGGAAAGATGTGCTAACTCACACTTTCTTTCCCTTCTCAGTCAGCTGGAGGTGGTGAGTATAGGCAGGATGGGTGCATGTCAAAGAGGTGAGAGAAGAGCAGCTCAGTTTTGTGTAGGCTTTTCTGCTGGCCTGATACGCACCATGCCAATGCCTACCCGGGCTTCAGAATCCATGTGAAATTCACACATGAACTCAACGCTCTTGCATTGGTATACTATAAAATGAACCATACAGCATATGCTAACGATTTAGATTTCAAATTTCCCTTTCCTTAGGATAATATTAAATAGGACATTAAGAAGCATCATGACCGGTCAAGAGAAAGACCATGGAGGAAGGCAAGGCCTGATTTTAGTGCCTTTAGCAGCACTTTCCCTGCTTTTTGGACCAGGGCCCTGCGTTTGTCTTTTGAACTGTTTTTTTAGTATTTGCTCGGGGGAAGGGGAGAGTGGAGAATATATTGTATTATCATACTTAGAGGCCTGATGCATGAAATTTGTGCAAGGGTAGGCCTTCACAGCCCCGCCTCCCCCCAACCCCTGCCTGCACCCCCCTTGGCCTGGCGCTGCCCACTACACTACCCCCAGGTTTGATTTGGGGTGAAAATCAAAAAACACTTGCTGGTCTGTATTAGGGGGCAAGGACATGTTCTGCCTCTGGCTCCTCTAGATGGCCTCAAGCCTGCCTCCTTCCCTTCAGTCCGGTCTCTGCTCAGCTGTCATTCCTCCCGGAGGCCTTCCTGGCCACTCACCCAAAGCAACACACTTCCCGGTCTCTCTGTGTCCCCTGACTCTGCTATATTTTTCTTTAAAAAAAAAATAAAAAAAAAATATATATATATATATATATTATTTATTTTTATTATTATTATTATTATTTTACAGAGAGAAAGGAGAGAGAGAAACATCAATTTTGTTGTTCCACTGCTTATTCATTCATTGGTTGCTTCTTATATGTGCCCTGACCGGAGATTGAACGCACAACGTTGGCATATCCAGATGATACTCTAACAAAAAGAGCTACCCAGCCAGGGCCTGCTTTATTTTTCTTATTTTCAGGGCTTGTATGTTTATTCATTTGTCTGCCTCCCTATAATATAAAGGACGCTCTGGAAGGATAGAGACTTTTTCTGGTTTATTACTCTTTCCTAAATGTTCAGAATAGTGCCTGACACATGGTAGGAGCTCAATAAATACATGAGTGAATGAATGAATGAATGAATGAGGACAGAGAATGACAATATAACAGCCATTGAGGCTGCTGGCTTTGGGGTCAGACAGCCCTGGACATGAGTGACGGTTCTGCCATTCACTCT